TTGAACCGCGGTCCCTGATGCTTTGCTAAGCTTGTTCTAAGTAGGTGCTCTAGACCACTGAGCCATCTCTCCAGCCCTGTTTAAATTTCTTGACCTTCCTCATTTCACTTACAAAATCACTTAGTAAGAGTTAATGTCCAGAAACCTGAGACTATTATTTGATCATTTGAGGTATATTACCAAGCTAATCATTTTCCATAGGTAGATAAAATTCACTGAGATTTATATTGTAGCTCGTGTGTGTGTGTGTGTGTGTGTGTGTGTGTGTGTGTGTGTGTGTGTGTGTGCTGTGTGTGTGTTTACATATATATTAAATTTCCTGGGGGCCAGGGAGATAGCTCAGTAGAATAAGCACTTGCCTGGCAAGCGCAAGGGCCTGAGTTCAATCACCCCTGGTTCCGCAAAAAAAAAAAAAATTTCCTGTTCTGTAATGTTTCCAGTGAGCATTTTTGGTGAATATGTTTTTTGACTAAAACTGTTACTTTATTTGAAAACACATTTACTCTGTTTTCTTAACATGTCATCATTAGTGCCTTAATAACAGCATTTGTTGAGCATTACTCTTTGCCAGGTTCTGTAATAAACACTTTGGAAATCCAGTTAACTTTACAACAGCCCTCTGAGGTGGGGTAGTGTTCCAAATAAGGAAACTATAGCACAGAGAGGCTAAGTAACTTGCCCAAGTTGCAAAGTTAGTAATTGGTGGATCTAGGACTCAAACTGAGGCAGTTTGACTCCTGGGCTCCCAATTTAACCAGTGTGCTATGTTGTTATATTTGTGTGCTACAGTAGTTTCTTAGGCAATCTTAAAACATTGTAGTTGTATGAGTTCAAATATGTGAATCCTTTCGATTGTATTTCTTTTATCTCTCCAAACTATTTTTACTCATTCTGGCATCTAACATTGTCAAGAGGTTGTTGCTTGAATTTGCTTTTGAATAGCAGATAATTTAACAAATACAGTATCTCTTAAGCTAGTTCCAAGTTATATAATCTTATACTAGAATAGTTCTAAGAAATTTCTATGTACTTAAGAAACTGTGTCCAACCCAGTAATGGGCTAGACAAAATCAAAAGAAAGTTCTATTAATACCTGTTAGACATACTAAATGTCATCAAGAGTTTTAGCTTTTTCATTCCCCACATGGTATTTTTCAGGTGAATCTTTGTAGTCCGTATTTGTTACTAAGAAGAGCAGTTCTGGCTTGTTTACGTCAGCTTGTACAGAGAGAAGCGGCTGAAGTTTCAGAATATGCTGTTATGCTTGCTACAGATGGCAGAGAAGACTTGACTCCAGGTAATTCTTTTTTATCAGCATTAGGTCCAGTACAAGTACCTGTTTAAATCTTAAATTTTGCATATAAGTATGCAGAGTGTTTAAAAAACATAATTGATTTTATTACCCCTTCTCAACATTTTGGACCTGAATTAAAAATTTCTTAGCCAGTAAGATTTAAGTATATATCTTCTTTTTTTTTTTTTTTTTTTGGTACCAGGGATCAAACTCCAGACCTTATGCTTGTGCTTGCCAGGCAGCACTTGTGCCACTAAGCTATCTCCCTGGCCCTTATCCTCTATTTTTTAAACTGTGGATAATATAAACATGCCTACAGAAACAGGGTCTTGATCTGTACTTTTAGGCTGGCCATGAATTCACTTTGTAGACAAGGATAGCATTAAACTCACAGCAATCTTCCTGGTTTAGCCTGCAAAATGCTGGAATTATAGGCATGTGCCACCATGCCCAGGCTCCAGAGTTCTTTAGAAACTTTTCTGTTTGTTTGTTTGTTTCTTTCTTTCTTTCTTTTTTATTTTGTTTTGTTTTTTTGAGACAGGATCCTTTTTTTAAAACATGGTCTTGCTATACAGTTCATTGTGTTGGAACTATATGGGTATGCCACCACACCCAGCCACTTTTTTGTTTATTTTGGTTTTTGTACTGGGAATTGAACTTTGGACCTTTCACTTCCGAGGCAGGTGCTATGCACTGAGCTGCATCTCCGGCCCTACCCAGCTTTTCAGAACAGCACAAATTTCACAACTCTTTCCAGTATCTTTAAGCTTTCAGATCCATAGTGTGCTGAATTGTCAATAGTCCACACTCTTCAAATTAGTTTTATTGTATTAAAACATGAATTGGGTTAATCAGCGTGACTATACAGATATAATCATCAAACAGGTTGCAGAAATCATTTTCAAGTTATTCTGTGATTTCTAACCTTAAAAGAAAAATTTTTAATCTTCTAACACTGTCAGATACTCTTCGTGAAAGGATCCTCAGTATATTCACCACTGAAATTATCTGTATCTGTTGCTTCAAATTTTGTGTAAACATGCCAACATATTCTTAAATAATTGAGTTAACTAATGAGTAAAATTATAGTAAAGAACTCATTGTGTTAATTTTTAAATTTTGTAATTTTTCAAGATCATAGGTAAGCACTACGAACCATGCAACAAGCGTATAAGTTCACCTATTTTCTTTTCCTTTTTTCTTTTTCTCCTTTCCTTTTCTTCCCCTTTCCTTTTCTTTCATGTGTGTGTGTGTGTGTGTGTGTGTGTGTGTGTGTGTGTGTGTGTGTTATTGAAGATTTCTTTTGTGCTAGGCATGGTGGTACACACCTATAATCCTGGCACTGGGGAGGCTGAGGCAGGTGAGTTGCCCTTGGGCTATATAGTAAGTTCAAGGGTACCCTGACTATACAGGAAGATCCTGTCTCAAGCCCCCCCAAATTTTTTTTCCTTCTCTTTTGTGGAGGAGGTCAGTGCTGGGGATCAGCCTAGAGTCTTCACACTGAGCTACATCTAGAGACTTTGTTGTTTTTATTTTATTTTATTTATTTATTTATTTATTTTTTTAGGGAAGGGTCTACAGGGTGTTCAGGGTCTCACTACTAGATCAGACTTTAGTGATCTGCCTGTTTACAGCCTCCAAAGAGCTGGGATTACAGGCACGCACCACCATGCCCAGTCTCAGTCACTGTCTCAGTGTGCCCAGCACTGCAGGCCCAGGAATCAAACACCCCACTCCCCACCCCGACTCCTGTACCTGCTTGCAGGCACTGTAATCCGCTGAGCTATTTGGCTGGCCCTATTATTTTTATTTTGAAATAGGGTCTCACTGCATTGCCCAGGCAGGACTCAAATGTGTGTTTATCCTGCCTCAGGCTCCTAGGCTCTGGAATTATCCCAAGCCATGTTATTATACAAACACCAATTTCGGTCAGATCATTTGAAAGCAGGCTATAGATCTGACAGATTACTTTTATATAATTCAGTTTACATTCCCCAAGAAAAACTTTCTCATATGTAACCACACACCATTTTTACACCTAAGGAAATGAGCATTGCTTTAGTAGCATCATAAAGTTTATAGTCCAGATTTCCTATACTGTCCCAAAATATGTCCTTTATGTCTCCTGCCCACCCAAATCTCAGCTCTAGTCATTACTGACACACTATATTATTACATTCTTATAGACTGCCAGTATGAAACATTCCTTTCACTTTCTTCTGGCCTTTTCAAGACAGTTCCACTCTTAAAATAGTCTAACATGGGCTGGGGTTGAGCCCTTGGCACAGCACCTACCTGGCAAGCATGAGGCCCTGAGTTCAATTCTTGGTACCAAAAACAAATTTGAAAAAATAGATTAGTCTAACAATCTCTGGAATCTAAATTGTTTCATAAATGCTATATGACTTAATTTGTTTAAAGTGAAATTCATTTGATTTCGTGACACATAGATACAAATGAATTTTGTTTGCATTTTCAGAATCAAAATGACACTAAATCAAAGCTTGTATTTCTCGAGAAATACAGTACTTTGCAATAAGAATACTTTATAGTAATTTATGTTAATTTAATAGAGTAAGATCACTGTAATAATTAAATACTGTTCTCCTTAAAATGTTTGTTTGGCCTGTACCCTCATGTTAAAAAAATTTAGAAGCTTCATGCCAGAATGAGGAAAGTTATTAATTATGTTTAATGACTTAAAATTAACTTTGGAGCAGAAATCAAATACCAAGCAACAGTGGATAGAATTTATGTGTACTGTATTGAATATTACTTGGAATATCACAGCATATCAATAGTTGTTAATAAAGACTTATTAATGATAGTATTACTGGATAGTGGGACCTGGAGGAATTCTTTCCTTGGAAAAAAACACATAGGAAACGTAGCTTAGGAAGGGGAGATCCAGGTGTAGTGGTGACTGCCTGTAATCTCAACATGTAGGAGGCCAAAGTAGAAGGATTCTGGGATCTTGTGGCCAGTCTGGACTACATAATGAGTTCAAGTCTATTCTAACCTATATAGCAAGGAGCCAGGGAGATAGCTCAGAGGTATAAGTACCTACCTGGCAAGTATAAGGACCCAAGTTCAATCCCTGGCCCCTTATGCCATGTGGTCTTGGCCTGCATCCCCAGGTGCAGTCTTGACCCAGGCCACAGATCAGCAGGTGTGGTGGTACATGCCTGTAATCCTAGCACTCAGGAAATTGAGACAGGAGGATCTCTGCAAGTTTGAGACCAACCTAGGGGAGGGGGGCTAAAAAAGTGAGCACAAGACCAGCCTGAACTGCATAGCGAGACCCTGTCTCAAATAAATAAATAAACTTTATAGTAAGATGCTGTCTCAAAAAAGAACAAATCAGAAAAGAAAAGATAACAGGGATATGTATTTATACATTATTTCCAAGGTAGAATAACAGGCCAGCACTGAGCTCAAGAGAAACCTGAACTACATAGTGAAATCCTGTCTCAAACCATACTCCCACCCCAGTATATATACACAAAAAAGAACAATTTAAAAAAAAAAAGAACAGGTCAGTGAATACTCACAACAACCAAGAGGATATAGGAAAAAGGGTCCTTTGTATCTGGAATCCTGGTTTGCTTTCATCTTCTGGCAAATAAAACATTGGGATGGTTGTCCTATCAAAAACTCAGTTGGCCTGCCAGATTTGAACTGTTCTGTTGAATGCATTTGGTTTCATGCCACATATAAAGGAAGAATTGAAAATAGCACTTTCTGATTGGCTCCCTGTACAGGGCATAAAAACTACAAAGTCATCCTGGATTCTGTGTCTCTACAAGTTCCCTGGGCATCCATGACTTTGACAGATTTTGCCCTATTGTTTGACCAGTTTTGCCTCAGTCCTAATCTCCTAGTTAAAGATAAATCAAAAATAGCTGTACATGATCCAAAATGATCCCAGAGTTCAGTTGTAAGCTAAAATTGATCTCTGTGGCCCAGCCAGGGAGATAGCTCAGTGGCACAAGTGCCTGCCTGGCAAGCTGAAGGTCCTGAGTTTGATACCTGGTAACAAAAAAAATAAAGAATAGTAAAATTGACCTCTGTACAATAGAGTACAATACTTAGGTTACTTTTTAAAAATGTATTTATAGGCCAGCTGAATAGCTCAGCCTATTAAAGCGCCTGCAAGTAGGCGCAGGGGCCAGGGATTCAATCCCCAGGCCTGCTGTGCCAGCCCTGCCCCCAGGATGTGCTGAGATGACAATTGAGACTGGGCGTGGTGGCACACACCTGTAATCCCAGCACTTCAGAGGCTGTAAAACAGAAGAATCACTGCGAGTCCATAGACCCTACCCTAAAATACAAAAATAAATAAATAAAAATATATTTATATGTAATAGTTAACTATTGAATCTGTATGCTTCTCATATGACAGTATTGTTTTCTGTATTACTTAGATTATTGGTTTTCTTCTTGTCAGATGCTAATATCAGAGAAGTGGGCCTTGAAGGGGCATTATTGATCTTACTAGACAAAGAGACAGATCAGAGGTTATGCCATGATATCAAGGAGACTTTAAATTACATGCTCACATCTCTGGCGGTGGAAAAACTCTCCCTTTGGTTAAAGCTTTGTAAAGATGTACTTGCTGCATCAGCTGGTAAGTATTGGGGATTAACAGTCACAGTAATAAAATTAGAAGTAAAAATCATATTCAGAATAGTTTGCCAATATGTAAGCCTATTTTGAAGATCCTCTAAAATTTTTCATGTAATGGACATCTTTAGAAATTAACATCAAAAAAGTTTGATGTTAATATTTTTTATACAAGTTAGAGAACATCCCAGGTGGAGCTATCCTAATGTACTTACATTGTGTGGTTTTAGTAAATTACTTATAAATATCTGCCTTATTTATCTGTAGTGTTTAATATGAAAATACTGACTTGGAATACTTACATGTTTTTGTCTTTTGTGTCTATGAGCTTAATACATAATGTTGTTTAATTAAACATGATCAAGTAAAATATAAAAGAATTATTTGCGAGTGACAATTCATCAGTCTTACTTACTTGAATTATAATTGTCTGGTGATTGTTTCAAATGAAGATTCTTACTTGTAATGTCTTAGAACTCTCTTTTAATTTGAACATTTAAAAAATCTTAACACTAAAGGTTGCTTTTAGAGCTACTATGTGTGCTAGAAAAGGTCTGACTTAATTTATAATGCCCCAATTATTTTTTCACATGTATGATAAATATTAGGCATGCCACAAATTAAAATGATAAATTCTTATGAACAGTTACATTTTTAGACAGTTAATTTCACCCCATTTTCTAATGTTAATTTCAAATATATATTATAAAGTAATATATCTGTAATGTCTTTGCTAATACAACATAATTATACAATGTATATTTGAGTCTTTAAAATATGTATTCTTTTTTTCAAAGTTTTTTATTTTAAAGAGAAAGAAACAAAGCAAAATTCCAAAACAATATGGTAGGGTAACAATGGTCAACACATTACATGGTATCTTTAAATCGATTATTCAGAGTACAAGATATGAGCATTTAATTATCCAAACAATGTTAGAACAAACCTGTGCCTTCAACAGAGAATCAGCAGTATAACTATTGAATATAAATATTATATATATAAATATATATATATATATATAATATGTATTATCCTTATAGTAAGAGAGAAAATAAAATGAGAGGAAGAAAAAAGAAACCAATTGTATTCTAGGAACTTTACCAATTTTATGTTTTAATCTTTTGCCCTAACCTATGAATAGGCAGTGTTAATTTCATTTTAGAGACTGGGAGTGATTAATAATATATCTAAAGACTACAGGTTCAATTTTAAGCCTACATAACTTTTAGAGCCATGAATTTTCCATTACTATATATTTCATTGGCTCCCAGTTTAGTTGTACAAGCTTTATAATTTAATGTAGCTCTCATCTCTGAATTATGTGAGAAGGAAAAAGCTACCATAAAATTTCTGTAGTTATTTTATTCTCCTCTGTCTGCCCTGATTTTTTTTATTGGGCCTCATCTTTTCTAGTGATCTATACCTGCTCTTTAAACATAGGCACTAAATGTTTTACCTTGTAACACTGTCTTGTATCAGTACTACTTCAGAATTTATGAGGACTTTTTTTTAAAAGGAAAATCTCTTTGTCCATACACAAATGAATATTTTACCTTACTTTAATTTTATATTCATATTCCCTGAGCTTGCTAACTCTATTTTTTTTTAATGTATTTGGTACAGGGTTCTACCACACAGCTTGAACTTATCATGATCCTCCTGTTTTTAGCCTCCCCATCACTGGGATTACAGGGGTGCGCCACCATGCCCAGTCTCGGTGGCTGGCTCAGCATGCCTGGGGGCAAGTTAGCTCAATTTTATTTTGCCATTTATTCTTTATATTCTGTAGTTTGGCTTCATTTTTTCTTTTTTTCTTTTTTTTCATTTTTTCTTAATAAGAAAATGCCCTTTAGTCTCTGTTGACTTCTTCATAAAAGATACAGTTTACCATAATGCAGAAAAAAATATTGACATACAAGATAGTTTAAGAAAAGTCAGATAGCTTGTTAGACCCAATTATTTGACATTATTATAAAGGTATATAACTGATCGATAGTAATTCTAGAAAGCATTTCAAGTCATTTTGTGTTCCTTTATATCTTCCCATTGATTGTAATTACATGTATTCTCCCCTGATAAAAGATTTTACAGCCGTATCATGTGTGGATACAATGCAAGAGGAAGAAGGAGATAAAGGTGATGATTCCTCAGTCTTGACCACCAGAAGTAATGAACAATCTCATCCTTTTACTAATCCCCGATGGGGCACTAGAGTCTTTGCTGCTGAATGCGTCTGTAGAATAATTAACCAGTGTGAGAAGGCAAATAGCGCGCATTTTGACATTGCATTAGCACAAGAAATGAAAAGAAGGGATTCAAGAAGTAAGTGACATGTTAATGAGAAGACCAAATGATATAAGTAATAGCGCTGTCTGCTTAGGTTTTTGGGGTTTTTTGTTTATGTTTTTGTTTTTTTAATTTTTATTTATGTGTGTGTGTGTGTGTGTGTGTGTGTGTGGCCAGCTCAGCCCACCAGGGGGCAGGGCTGGCTGGCATGTGGTGCTGGGGGATTGAACCACGGTCCCTGTGCTTTGCTAAGCTTGTTCTAAGTAGGTGCTTTAGACCACTGAGCCATCTCACCAGCCCCTGTCTGCTTAGGTTTTAATATTAACTCAAACAATAAAACTAAAATTGGAGATACACTTCTGTAGTGGACCACTTGTCTAGTACATCCTGTGCTCACATTAAGTCCCTAGTACTGCAAAAATAAGCTACTAAGAGTAAAACTAAAGTTATTTTTTATCAGTTATGAAACTTGATTATATTTATGTAAGCGATAGGTTTCATTCATTTTTTTAATTTAGTACAAGGTCTACATGACATGACACAGGGTCTGTAGGGTCTCACTACATAGATCAGACTTGTAGTGATTCTTCTGTTTTCAGCCTCCCAAGAGCTGGCCCAGTCTCAATCGCTGTCTCAGTGCACCCCCGGGGCAGGGCCAACGTGGCACACCGGGAATCAAACCCCAGCTGCTGCACTCTGCCTAAGTAGGCGCTTTAGTCCACTGAGCTATCTAGCCGTCTCCATAGGTTACATTTTTAAATGTCTAAATACTTCTATAATGATTAGATTTAAATTTGCATTCACTTTTGCTTAATGAATATATGAAGTGATTAAGTTTATAGAAAATAATCTTCTTGGGAAATAGTATGTACACATTAGCTAGTTTCCAAAAATTACTTTCTATATTGTAACTTTTACAAATTTCTGCTGACAGATTTTTGGGTTATGTAATGCATATTACCTAGAAACATTTGAACCTATCTCAGTATAAACATTCCTGAATGTAAGACCATTTTGACCTCTTGTTCAATTTTATTTTTTACCTGTATGTATATATGTACTTATGTTTTGATTTCTAATTTTTAAAATTCATATAAGGACATGTGTCAAATCACAATGCACATTTCCAAGTGCCCTTGGAATATTTTTATCAGTTAAAAGCAAAATGTTCCTATTATGTTTTGAGTATGAATTCGGTGTCTGATTTAATGATTTTTTTTTTAAAAAGCTAACATTTATTGAGACTCGTATTTAGGATCAGCACTTATAAGATTATTATGGATATAAAATTAGTATGCCAAAGATACTGATTCTTATATTCCCAGTTAAAACTGTAGTTGAGAGCTAGGGATGCGACTGTGTGTCAGGTGTTTGCCTAGCATGTGCAAGGTACTGCATTTAGTCCCCAGTACCACAAAAACAAAATAAGGTGACGCCGGGGAGATAGCTCAGTTGAATATGTGCTTACCTGGTAAGTGCAAGGGCCTGAGTTCAACCCTCGGCTCCTCAAAAACAAAATAAGGTAAAATAGAATGAAATAGTATCTGGCACTTACTAGTATACCTTACTTCTAAAGTGTGGGCTATAACTCTGTTCTTTAAATTAGTCTCAAATAATATTTTTGGCAAGATGTGGTGTGTCCCTAAACATTACTGAAACAATGTTAGGGGCTGGGATACAGCTCAGTGGCATAAGCACCTACCTGGCAAGCTCAAGGTCCTAAGTTTGATCCCCAGTACAAAAAAAAAAAAAAAAAAAAACACCTTGCCATTGTGAAATGATTTTCTTAAAATCTCTTCTCAGAATTTTCATATCGAAGAACATGTTGCAGAAATGAGAGGATTACCATTATTTCTATCACTAACGATTTTTTTTATATTTTTACCATTTATATGTTTGGCAAGACATACAATAATGAGAAAATCTAGTCCATATAATGAGCCACATGAGTTTTTTAAGGAACATTAATCTCTTAGCTTCAGTTTTTTGTTTTATTTTTTTTTCAAAGTTTTATTGATAAACAGCAATGAGACAGTTTCAAATCAAATCGGA